CCCCCCCCCCCCCCCCCCGGGCTCCATGATAAAGAAACCGGAGCTAAACATATAGACATTACCGATGCCTCACCCCAAAATCTCTTTCCTCTAATTCCTTGAATGTTGCCGCCAATGTTTGGCTAGTTATTATCAGTATAACGAATTGACGTCAGTTTTTCATGCGTCTGTCCTGTTGTTGATTATGTATTTCATTTTCGTCATAACATTGTCAAAGTAGCTGTGGATCCACGGGGCGATAGCCGATTGGATCCGCAGACTACTTTTACAGGGCAGACTTTAATAGCACAGACGCATTAAAAACTGACGTCAATTTGTTTTTTACAATAACAAATTGTCAAATTGTCCGCTCTCGCTCGTTGACGCATCGCATAAGTTGTAAATTCATGTGTATATCCGCATATTGACAACGAAAATTAGCCAATGAACGCGAGAGAATTTCTGCAGTTATCGTAAAAAGACTTTTGAGGCACTCTTGTCTCGTGTCTGATGTGATCTAGACCCCGTAGCCTTTACGTCTGAGTGACAGCTGACAATCAAATTTACAGATTACAGGCGAGACGCTCTGGAACAGCACAATAGCCTTCGAGCCATTCATGATGCACCTGCAATGAGGCTCAGCAGTTCTTTGAATGCACGTGCTGACCAGTACGCGCGGCAGCTGTTCAACAGGTTCCGTTGCTCCGGTGACCTTAAGCATTCTGACACCCCGGACGAGGGAGAAAATCTCGCCAGTGGTTGGACGACTGCAAATGTACCTGAAGCCAGAAGTGTTCAAGATGCCGTAAAATCATGGTATGGGGAACAGTATAGATCTTGTTGACTTCAGCCTTTTATAACTGCTTTCTTTCCAGTTTCTTGAATTACCACCAAAACGTGTAACAGTGTAAGCGTGGGTTTAACTTTATCCAAGCTTAAGGCGGCCCCTTACAACCCGTGACTTCATACATCGAAAGAGTAATGATTAGTACCAGATGGTTAAGATTTAGTAAGATCTAAGATTTAATAAGATTGGTAAAATCTTTTCTGTTTCATGATTCATAAAAGAGTGTTTGTTGGTTTGTCTACAGGTATGATGAGGTGTGCCAGTATAATTTCAACGTGCATAGATACCAGAGCGGCCTAGGGCACTTCACCCAGATAATTTGGAAAGCATCTACGGAGCTTGGCATCGGCAAATACACTGGAAGAAGCGGACGGCGGACCTGCACATATATTGTAGCTCGATACAAAGATGCTGGAAACGTGAACAGCCCCAGGTACTTTCGACGCAATGTTTCCAAAGGTTCTTTCCGTGAATCCTATTGCAACACGATAGCGGATAAATCTGTGGGTGGAGACAAGTACATTGATGCTCCGGAGGGTTCGACCGACCAGTGAGGCGGCTTCTTCTCCCGCGTGCGACATGTTATCGATATAGAATGCTCTTGTTATGATTCTGCTCAATGCAAAAGGTTGTTCGAGCAGCTAGAGCTGCAGAAATCTAAATTGTGTTGACTTATGGTTAGATCCGCCATAAATCAATGCTGTTTGTATTTGTTAATTAACAGGAAAGAAAAGTCAATAAAGCGACGTTACGACTCACTCTCCTGTGTCACTGTTCTTGAGAAAAACAGTCAACTTTGTTTTCCGAAAATCTCAAAAATTAACTGGGTACCAGAGAGACCTATGAACATTGCATGAATTGAAATCAAACACAACGAAGACATTAAAAGAAATCACGTGCAACAGTGGTAGTCGATCGGCTTTTGCGGACAACAGTACGCTGTTACCCCNCCCCCGTCATAGATTTTGTAATGTTGCCCGCTCAAAGACTTTTGACGGTAAGCAGTTTTATTGTTAAATGCCATGTGACCTGCCAATGAGAGGGCGCGCTGTTTGGGGAAAAAATCCTGCTATACAGCAATTTATTTTATTATGTAGACAAGAGTACTTTGCGGGAAAAATAAACCACTGTCTCGTTAAATTCATACGAAACTACATCCGGACACGAGTGTCGTATATTCCATAAGCTCACCAGTCAGGATGTTGATGACGTCATCTTCGTTGTTACGGTTGTTTGTGCAAACAGTCAGTGAAACTGGCGTGCGACAGATTCCTCTATATAACAAAAAGGAAATTACACTGTGGCTTGAAGATATGAGTTATAGATTTCTCGAGTTAAAAACAAAACTCTACTCACTCGCTGTACTCGTTCGTAAAATATTGTTTTCACAACACTCGAAAGTAACATTCATACCTCGGCGCCGCGTAATAACCTCTATGTATATCAAATCATGAAAGCTATATCTTGACACGCAGAGTTAACAACCTATTATTTCTTTGAGCGTGGGGAAATGTGTTTAAAAAAATTGACAACTGTCATACGCAGAAATATAACTGGTGAATCGCGTGGGCGAGCCAGGCACACCCACCCGGAGCATACCGTATTCATTCGATTAAGCGCCCCGGGCGCTTGTTAAAGTTTTGGACCTTGTGATTGGGCGCTTATTCAAGGCTTGGTGCGTATTTAGTTTTCACCATTTTCAGTAGGCAGTAAGTTGAAGGCTTGAGAACGGACTTGTGCTTGTGTTAAAAATATCAGAAATTTCACTATTCTCTCAATTGGTGGATTTAGGGAAGGGTTGATTAGGTGGGTAGCCAACC